AGAGAGTCCCCATGTGTAGTAACAGCCAGGAAAGAGCTCTGAGGAAGCTGATCGCGCCAGAGGGCTTCCGCCGCCGCCGCCGCCCTTGCATTGCTGGCAGAGGGTTGGGCCCTCCAGGATGCAGCAGCAGTGTTGGCATTGGGCTGGGGCATGCAGCTGCAGTGTTGGCAGAGGCTGGGGCTCTCCAGCATGCAGCAGCAGTGATGGCAGAGGCTTGGGCTCTCCAGGATGAAGCAGCAGTGTTGGCAGAGGCTGGGGCTCTCCAGGATGCAGGAGCAGTGATGGCAGGGCTGGGGCAGGCAGCAGCAGTGTTGTCAGAGGGCTGGGACTCTCCAGAATGCAGCAGCAGTGATGGCAGGGCTAGGGCAGGCAGCAGCAGTGCTGGCAGAGGACTGGGCTCTCCAGGATGCAGCAGCAGTGTTGGCAGAGGGCTGGGCTCTCCAGGATGCTGCAGCAGTGCTGGCAGGGGCTGGGGCATGCAACAGCAGTGCTGGCAAGGGCTGGGGCTCTCCAGGATGCAGCAGCAGTGCTGACAGGGGCTGGGGCAGGCAGCAGCAGTGCTGGCAGGGGCTGGGGCAGGCAGCAGCAGTGCTGGCAAGGCCTGGGGCTCTCTAGGATGCAGCAGCAGTGCTGGCAGGGCTGGGGCAGGCAGCAGCAGTGTTGGCAAAGGGCTGGGCTCTCAAGGATGCAGCAGCAGTGCTGGCAGGGGCTGGGGCTCTCCAGGATGCAGCTGCAGTGCTGGCAGAGGCTGGGGCTCTCCAGAATGCAGCAGCAATGATGTCAGGGCTGGGGCAGGCAGCTGAGTGTTGGCAGAGGTTGGGGCTCTCCATGATGCAGCTGCATTGTTGGCAGAGGCTGGGACTCTCCAGAATGCAGCAGCAGTGATGGCAGGGCTAGGGCAGGTAGCAGCAGTGCTGGCAGAGGGCTGGGCTCTCCAGGATGCTGCAGCAGTGCTGGCAGGGGCTGGGGCATGCAACAGCAGTGCTGGCAAGGGCTGGGGCTCTCCAGGATGCAGCAGCAGTGCTGACAGGGGCTGGGGCATGCAACAGCAGTGCTGGCAAGGGCTGGGGCAGGCAGCAGCAGTGTTGTCAGAGGGCTGGGCTCTCCAGGATGCTGCAGATC